CCTGAGGTAGCATTCAAGTTTGCGAAAAATCCGTGAAAATCCACACTCCAGACACCACCAACAAAAATCTGTTCTATATGTCAAATATTCAACAAACCCATTTTTAGTATGACCTCTTCTCTTCATTCTTTGAAAATTTCATGAAGATTGGATGAAAAATGGTGGAGTTATTCAAAAAGGTATGGAGAAAAGTTGCATTTTGAGAAAACGGCCGATAAAGAAAAATAAAATACTGACTTTATTAGGAAATGGCGGTTACAAACATGCCCGGTATGGGGAAAATTACGGTTTTTGGAGGTTCTTATGTAATGAAATAGTGTAGGAGAGGCTGAGAAAGCTAAAAATGCCTACAACTCAAATTCCATGATTTTGAGCCGAATTTTGATTTTGGGGGTGTAGCCCCCCCCCCCTTTAAAAATATACCGGTCTAAAAAATTATCAAAAGGTTATAAATTATTTTCAAATATAATTGCATGTGGTTTTGCAGCTTTTTGTGGCTCTGTTAATGAATGAACTTGGTATTTTTGATGTAGGAAGACAAACTTTTTCAGAATCGAGGTCCAAAAATAAGAGGAACATTTTGACCACAAAATCCTCCGATGGTAGCAACGGAATACATTCACAATCAAATAATTTATTCAAGATTTTTTTAACTCACTACCTCATCCACTAGAATAATGTTTCATTTTTAAGCATACCAAAATTGTGTAAATATCTTAAAACTTTCCAAATGATACTTTTTATTCGGTTTCCATTCCTTTTTGGCTGTTCAGTGGGTGGAGACAATTGCTTGAGGAAATTGGTTTACTGTTGGGTTACGACCGCTGGGTCAGATAATCGCATACTTGAGGGGCTGTCACTATTAAAAAGACCTTCCCTCGGCGATTGAGATTCTATTGAATAACCACTTGGTATCTTCGACTTTCTACACAATATTGCTGAGGACGGAAGCTGAGGAGTTGAGTGATGGTGCCGAGAATGAATCCGAACTCCTGGTGTCCCACACAAGACTTTTGCCACCCTCAAATTGTGATCCCCATTTCGACGACATTAGAGTGGGATTAAGCCGAAACCTTCAGTATTTGAACAGCTCTGGCATATTTAAGTGCTCATGCACTGTCAAGTAAGTTCATTCACAAAATGCGTATTCACTTGAATTTAAACTCAATTCAAACTTAAAATTGCACATGTACATGTCTAGTAATCTAGTTGCATATATCATGACAAAGCATTGTTATCAGCCAAATAAGAATACACATATCCATATTATTTGTAAGTTATTTATGTAACTGATCGAGTTAAAACTGTGATTGAATTGCCATTTTGGGGAACTTGAGACCACAATCTTCAAAATGAGGTTGTTGAGAGCTTGATAGCCATCACAAAAAGGACGTTTTAGGGGGAAAATGGCGTATTATTTTTTACTAAGAGGAAGGAAGGTGTCATTTTTTAGGGTGTTTTTGAACATGTCCTGTTACTGACAGGGACAAAGACATTCTTTTTTTTTAAAATAGATGTTTCAAAGTACTCGAATCTGTTATGAGCCCAATTTCCTATCTGAGATTTAAAAAAGGACGTCATTTCACCGCGGCCTTCTCTCGAAACATGCCTTAAGAGATATTTGAGGATAAGTTGAGCTATGAAATTTTGACCGCAATACGCTTACATAGAGATTCAAGTAATTCTGTCTTTACCAAGTAAAACCACGTTGTGCAGAGAACAAACATATTAATACAAACAAACAAAAAACTGTAGTCCCGCGAGCTCATATTATGAGTCTAATATTATGATGCTATGAATTCTGTCAAACCCTTACCTAAACACACGAGAGATACGTATGCATAATTCATACCTCAACATCGTGAAGGGCTCTGTCTTTCTCTTCCTCTAGTACAGAGCACTGGTTTCTCTTGTTGGCGAGATGTCTGTTGAGTTTCTTCACCGTGACTTCCATGTGGGACACATTTGTCTTGAACGCTTTCAATTTGCACTGAGGGAGAGAGAGAGAGAGAGAGAGAGAGAGAGAGAGACAGATAGATAGATAGAGAGAGAGACAGAGAGAGAGACAGAGAGAGAGAGAGAGAGACAGAGAGAGAGACAGAGACAGAGACAGAGAGAGAGAGAGAGACAGATAGATAGATAGATAGATAGAGAGACAGAGAGAGAGCCAGAGAGAGAGAGACATTGAAAGAGCGCTGGGTTCTCCCCAGGTTCTAAGGGGAAAGGAAAGGCTACCAAAAGGCCCAGGACAACAGCAGCAAGACCTCTTTGTCTAG